CCCCCCCTAACAGGGCCTCTTTAAAAAGAACACACACGAGATTGTATCTCCGTTCTTTTATAAAGAAGAAAATAAAAATAAAGAAGCCATAATTGAAAAGGAAAGTTTCAGTTGATTTAATAGTTTAAGATCGATGACTTGAGTTCGTAGTAAATTTACTCCTCTATGATATTGCATCAGTTTCGCAGATGCACTATCATATTTGTCATCAGCATTAACCACGGAATAGGAGGAAACAAGAAGAAGCTTTCGGGGGAACGTTTGAGACCACTTCCCTTGATGCTAACTCAGTTTCCTATTAAGTACATATAAGATAAATCTCATTTAATCGATCAATACGTAATTATTATCACCCCAGTTTTATTTATCACAATATTTTCTATTTAATCTCGTTAGGCCAGGGAAGGAAGTTACGTTTTTTTTAGCAATAGAAATGAAAGTTCGATTTGTGAAACAATATACCGTGTGGCACTAAATTTTTGCAGGTTCTACTTGTTCCGATTTTTGCGGTTTTTTCCATAATTCGCAAAAAAAAGTTCCCGCAAAAATTTCCTTCGCAAAAATTTACTCCACTGGCCAAATTATACAAGCAAACAACACAAGTAGAATCTCGTTGCCGCCATTTATCTAACGTCTCTTTCGTTCAGGAACAAAACGATGAAATGAGAAACAAAACAGTTCAAAAACAGGTACCACTTTAAGAAGAGCATCTACAATCCCACGCGAGAGCACGATGTAATTGTGATAAAGTGACACTGGTCACTGGATTACTGTGTTTTACTTCTCTACAGTACATGTTTTTTCACTTGTCAATTGTATGCAGTTCAACTTAAGAAATGCAAAAATTGTGTAATTTCAATTAAACGCGCGACTTCGCGAAAATCGCAAAAAATTAGTACCCAGCAAGAAGAAAACAGTCTTTTGCAATTGCAAAAATTAGTTCACCGATTCGCAAAAATAAATTTCCACAAAAATTTAGTGCCACACGACTCTTGGCCGGGTCTTGGTAATCGATTGATGTATAGGGAAAAGTTAACCTTTTTGTTTTCTTCCTTATTTAATACAGTGAATAGATTATCGCAATCTAAATTCTTTAGCTTTCAGAAAATATAAACGCTATTCGCGTTCGTTTGAAAACATTGGGCGTCAATTCTTGTCGTATGCAAAAAGGTAAAATTTACAAATTAAAAATGCTGGCTGTCATTTCGTACAGTTGACCGCAGAGCAAAGTCTGTCATGATAAAATATATATCTGTGCTTTATTAATTGCATACGAGAAACAATATAAAGGTAAAATTTGCAAATTAAAGTGCTGCTTGTCATTTCACAGAGTTGTTAGTGCTGCGCTTTTTGCAGATTGACAGGTACAAATTTACATTGAAGCGGACTTTGTCATGTCAGAGTTGGTGACACCTGTATGTAAAGCTTGCGAAGAAATAATAAAATTCATTCCATTTTACAAAATATTGCGCAAAATGTGGTAAAGAGTTCCTGATTAATTAGATAACAGAGCAAATTACTTCTGATATCGAAACGAAATGAGTGATAATGTGCTTCGAACGCATGAAATGACACACCGTTTTATAATTGAAAGCAGACCTTTCAGATATGATGTCCGTCCTCAGAGCATTTGGTTTGCCTGTTTATTCAAAAAAGAACAAGCCATTGAGGATAATTATAATAATCGCATTTTTACCGCGGGCTCAAATAAGGGGATCTTATTTTATAACAAACGGAATGAGTTACGTAATATATATCATGTTAAGATTTATTAACAAAAGTGCAGTTCGTACTGCCTTCAGTTAGTTATGGCGTGTAAAAGCGTTGTGTTATTTTTCCTGTTCCAGATTACCACCGTATTCTCTTCCGAAGAAACAGCTGCATTTTCTCGTTCATTACATTTCACAACGCGGGAAAATAAGCAGCTTAAGGGATACGTTGTCAAACGGTTTGATTCTCCCAGTTTGTTATCGTGCGACCAACAATGTATGAGGAACGCTTGGTGTACTTCTACAAACTACAAGATGTCATCCAAGAAGGGCGGCAAAGGAACTTGTGAACTGAACAAGCACGACATCTCACTCATCAACGAAAACGCCAACTTTCACGATCAACAGGGAGCCACTTTCTCTATGCTGCTGGTAATGAGTAAAGTGCTAATTTTAGAGCCCAGCTAACGACGTTTTGAGTTAGTTTAATAGTCCAGGCGTCTTTATTTTTGGTAACTTTAATTGTATATCTTCGTAACGAGCCTGCGATTTCGTATCTCCGTTACGACGGAATAATTTTATTCGAAAAAAAAATGTGCACGCGTGGCATAGGGTGGAAATTTAGGAGTGAGCCAATCTACACAGCTCTCCTCAGTCTGTAAATTGTAAGATTGCCATAAATTACCATGCTTTGAATTACAGGTGAAAGATATATCTAAGCAAGTGCCAGTATAACAAACAAGAGTTCATCAAAACCAGGTCGTTTTGAATAGCAGAATCAGTATTTAACAAACAGACTTTAATTAAAGAGATGCAAAGCAAGAGTTTGACAAACATTTTTTTTTAGAACAGACTCAAGAGATAGCGTGCAATAGTAGTGAATTCGTGATCGGAGTATAACAAACTATTGACGAAGTGTACTAGCAAAAGTCAAGGGAAGTATAGGAAAAGAAAAAAGAGTGACCACTTAGGACATTCTAGTGCGTAACCTCTCCTTTGTTTGACAGTTCAATTGAAAGCTATTGGTCATGAGCTCTACTTTTATTTGGGATTTTTTGTTTCCCATTTTCAATATGGGATTGCAGACAGCTTTTTCAATTTGAATCTGGCCATTTGTTTCACTTACATTTTCAGTGCACAGATGTTACCGCTATGTAATTTGACCGGTTATTGCCTCTCCCCAGACTCCTTGTGATGTCAATCCGTGCATGAACGGAGGGACCTGTTATCCAGCAGAGGGAAAGTACGACTTCAAATGCGCATGCGCGTCAGCTTTCAGTGGAAAAACGTGCGCTAAGGGTAAGAACTAGTTACAAATCAAGTCTAAAATTAAATCGACAGCGAATAATAAAATTGTTTTACTTAAAGTTTCTTTAGGTGTAGATAGAAATCTCAAGCTCATAATCTAATTGTTTACTAGAAAATAGCGTTATGTAAATACGCGCGCTGAAAACATTTTGTTAACAGGATACACTGCTACGCTACTCAATAACTATCACAGAATAAATAATGAGTAGCGGAGCCAATCAGCGAACGGCATTCGTCAGTGATAGAACGCTAGTAGATTTATACCACGGGCTGATAGTATACGAGTACCCCAGCCAACCAGATTGCAGTATTTGCATTAGCTATTAATAGTATACTAGTAGAGTTCTGTTGATGATGATTAATTATTAATGATAATTTTTACTAATGATGTGACTGAAGGTGCATGATTATATTCAAAGAGCGTCTGTGTAAGCGATATCACGTCTGTTCATATTATGTTAGCGTACAAGAGCTGCGCGGAGCTGTTCGACGCTGGTTTCACCGAAGATGGTGTCTACCAAATCCTGAGTGACAAGTCCGAAATAATTAATATCTACTGTGACCAGTCCAGCTGGGGAGGAGGTAAGAAGTGAGACCAGCTGAAAACATAATTGTCTGATTGCTTTGTTGAGCCATACGCATAAGTTTTCTTACTTGGTGACAAGTTTTTCCCCCAATTGGGGAGAAGACTCGTAAATGGCCTGACAGGTTTTGAATAGTTTAGTGGAGGCAGAGTGGCCGAGAGAGTTTTGCGCCGTACTTGAAATCCGGAGTTCAAGGGTTCAAGTCCCGCTCTGACCACTTAGCTGGATCGAGTTGTTTGTCGGTAGACCCTAGTTCAACTCCTCGGTCATGCTTGTAAAAAGCCAACTTGCCTCCCGCCAGTTGGGATTTTTAAGCCTATTACGTTTATACAGTTTATATATTTGTTTCTTTCAGTTTAAGTGGCATGCCTGTGTGAAGGCAAGCGCATTGACCGCTGTAAACAATAACATTTGAACATTTTTTTTTTAATATAGAGTCGTGGACAGGAGTAGATTAAATTTGAACACGAACATTTGTCATGTTGAGTTAGCTTCATCCCCTAGGAAAAAGTTTTTAAAATTTTCCTTTTGGGGTTCAAGAGGGCTTTTGGTCCAGGCTCCGGCTGATAGACGGGGACCCCGTGCTGAATTTGCAATCTCAACAAACAAAACGAGTTACTCTCCAATTCTTTACAATACACCTTTTAGTTTCTTACCTAGGCTCTTTCTTACTGAACCAGTTTTTAAGCTTTTGGAATTTGAAGCCGGGCTGCAGTGTAACCACTGACTCTCTAAGTTCGTAATATTCATAATTCTCTTTTTCAACAGGCTGGACCATGGTATTCAAGCTCGTGTCTGGTGTCTCCGCTGACATATATCAACTGTGGACGTCAGCAGATTCTTTGAACGAGAACAAAACAGAAGCACTGAACGTCAATTCCTCATTTAAAGGACATTATAAAAACCACTTTGTACAAAACTGGCAAACCGCCAATCCTAAGGAGGTAGACTCCTGAACATATTAAAATAATTCTAATATTAAAATAATTCCAATAAGAGCACAGAAAGCCTGGAATTGGCAAAGTCCCAATAGAAGAAACTTTCTTTACAATATTTGCTCTGTTAGCATAAGCGATACAGTTTCTGATGGGGCTACAAGAACATTAATTCTGAATATTGAAAGGGCACAGCACGATTAAATGTCCCAAGGAATTTGAGCGTGATGTGTTGAATACTTTTTGTGCGACGTGGGTTTAAAAACTTAAAATTTTACGAAGAATGTTTCAGCTAATTAGCGCTTTTGCAACCTAGAAATTTTGCAGTTTTTGAAAGCCAAATTCTCCTCAAATAGCACACCCAAAGAGCCAAAAATCTCACCAATCACTAAGTTTCACAAGCTCTTTAAATGTTTGTAGTCAATTTGTGTCTAGCGTGACGCCTTCTCTGGGCAAAATGGTATGTTATTATTAGTGTTAATGGAGAAATATGTAAACAATGACGTCAGAAACGATCGTTCTGTAAGAACAAACCCAACCTCGTCGCCAGGCTCTCTCTCCTCTGCCTTCACTTGTCACAACGACAAGTGGAGAGAGAGTCTACGAACGAGGTTGAAACAAACTGTCTAGTTGTTGATATATTATTCCCTCTCTGGTTTCAGGCGCGAGTGGCATTGTACAACATTAATGACTCCAAAGCGGAAATTCTTTCCCTGGTTTTCAACGCTACTAAGTCCAGCAAGTTAAACTGGTTTTCTAGAGATCGTCTAACTCACTCACCCTGGCCTGACCTATATACTGGAAGGATTCGTGGCTTCGATCTTCAAGGGTGCTGTGGCAGAAATTTCTACATTTTTAGGCGGCAAGGCGGCTGCCCCAATGATTATGGATGGCTTGTAGTAACTTCCAATAATTGTGCCTGGGAGACTCGCTTCCCTTCAAGAACAGTCCTTTACAGTAACCGCACAACCGTCATACACTGGAACGAGTATGGTACGTAAACTGAATAAACAAAAACATGTTCTTCTGTTTCAAACCTTTTTTGAAGAGTATGTCTCAGTAACGACCTCCAGATTAATGAAGAATGCTTTCAAATCCTTGTTGTGTCTCAGATCGAGGTTCGAGATACGGACCACTGAAGGCGGTCCCTTGTAGGGGGTCCGGGTCCATCTGCCCCCCGGAAATTTAAAATTGAGGTCCTCGGAAATAGTATCCGTCAGGCATTCTGAGGACAACTTGGCGTGTTATATTGTCTCTTTTTTTAATTTAGGGGGTTCGACCAAACCCCCCCGAACTCCTCCTAGAACCGCCCCAGATTTGGAAGTGGAAAATAGATATGCATCTTAGGAGTATAACGAGTCTGGTGCTCCACTAGATAACGTTGTAAGCTCCTGGCACCACATATACTTCTAAAACAAAGGCCAAATTACAAATAAAGAACATTGTCCAACCTTTCACCGAAAATTAATATTTCAATTATAGATATTAATCGTTCATTTATTTTCGTAGGAAATGTTGGAAGAGCAAATACTTTGCTAGTGTATATTCGCTGAAGCAAGTGTTGCCGACAAAATAAGGTGAGAAGATTACAGCCATGTTCCTATTAACTCAGTGGTTAGGGAGTGCACCGCAGGCGGGTTATGGCTGACGCGCCTGAAATTTTAATTGACCAATCAGGATTAAGAAGGTGGGGAAATCTGTACTGTTAACAGGAAAGGTATTGAAGTCGGGCAACTTTTCTTACTCGAGATGGCATTGAGTATTCACGAAAAAAGATTTCCAAAAACCACATCAGATTGTAAAAAGTGAAAACTATGAAACATTTTGAGTCTTTAAGTTTTTAATCTGGCGCCAAAAATAAGTCGCCAGCGTCCGGCATCTCTCAGTGTTCGTCAAGTGTCGCCATGTAGGAAAATAGCTGTGTCAAAAACCCACCATTGTAAGCGTAATTTGTCACCCATGGTATTAAAAGGTAAGTTAAAAAAATAGTATGCTCGTGAAATAAAGAAATAATTTCGCTTGCGTTTTGTCGAAACGCAACTGAATTTCCGTCGTCTAAAGGCTCGGGAAATTATCAGAATTTTGACCAAACCCGGGTGAAATTACTTCCTTATTTCACTCGTCACCATTTAATTACCCATATGGAGCTGATTCTCACCAGTTAACAATGTTCTACATTTTAGAACGAAGTTGGTGTATGGTACCATTCCCTTACTTTACACACTGTATCAAAGGACGTACACTCACTCAACTAAATTACCCACGATCGACTTGCCCTTAAAGTTTATTTATATTACGAACAAGCCTGTGACCTGATGGCTATCATTAGTGATGTTGGCTGAGATTTAGTATTTATAGTTTATTATTTTTTATTTCACTACATTTTCATTTTAAAAGTAGAGACGTTAACACCAATACTGTAAATTAAATACTTACATTACATTCAACTTGACTCTACTTTACACCTACATTGTTTGCTGCACATTACTACACTATTAATACTTAACACCCAAAAAGTAAATAAATTAATAAATAAACAAATAAGCTTAACAAGGGGATGTCGACTGATGAGTTTAATAAATTTTCCTTTTAATAGTTCATTGGACGATTCGTGTTATTGGAAAAAAATATATGGCTGCGACAGAGCTGGACTACAGAGATGACTCAACTGCTGAGAGCTACAAAAAAAATCCAACATTGCAGCAGAAATGATAATCTAAACCCAAACCCGAGTCTGAAAAGTAAACTGTAGACGCAGTAGAGCGAAAAATTGTTTTTTATACCATGCAACAGGAAAATTCCGCCAATCAGAATGCAGGAAAGCCGTTGCATATTCGACGGCATTACATCCAACCTTCCCATCATGCTCCGCGCGTATGTCGCATTGATTGTGTTGGGCACTGTATTTTCTATGGCATGGTATAAAATAGTTATACAACGCTCTCTCGTTGTATACCATGGAATATCTCACCTGTCACTTGTATTTTCTTGGTATACAAACTTGCCTAAATGCTCGTGTGTATACCGAGAAAATACAATGGATTCATGATATTCTACGATACAATAAAGCGTTGCGTAACGTTCGTTGCATAACGCTGAATATATACATTCTTGTAAACAGCTGATATTATTACTAGCAGCTTATTGTTCATGAAAATTTAATCTTCAGTTCTAACTCGGCCTTTCTTTTTTAATTTTGTGTTTCAATTGTTGACTACATGCCGGGTAAAAAATCTAAATGTTGAGAACATTTTACGGTTTTAAGCCAGCATATTCAGTAATCGTAATTCCGCTACAAACTGCGAAAAGTTAAAAAAAACAAAAAAGGTTAATACATCTCTTTTGTTTGTTTGTTTTTTTTAACAAAAAATCCGTTTAAACTTATAAGGTTGTGTTATTAGAATGATAATATGATAAAATGTTAAAGGATATGTAAAAAGAGGCGTTATAAAGATCATGCTCTAATAGATAATAATAATAGATGAAGATAATAATGATGATAATGATAATGATAATGATGATGATGCCTATTATAAATAAATATCAAACTAAGCAGCGTCAATACAAAGTGTTTACAGCTGTTTCTTTTGGCTTGTCGAGAGTTTAGTTTTTCTTGCTTGTTACATTGAAATAAATATTTTTGGATATTGATTTCGGAAGTAAAATAGATGTGTTGTATTTTGCCTGTAAGAGTGTAGTGAGGGGGTGACGCTGGGGAGAAAAGTCCCTATCATTTCAAAACAATTCCAGCGAGTATCTCGCACCGCACCGAACCGAACCGAACCGCAACGGAACGCAACGAAATGCAACCTATTTAAGGGGGTTCCCCTGGCCGCGCTTTGAGAGTAACCGGGTGTGAAAATTCACTCGAAAAACCACCAAGGTTAACGATAAAAAACGAAAAACAAAGATCATCTCTAAATTTGTTCGTTTCCCCTAGCCTTTGTGGTCCTATACGTGACGTCACAGCAGCCATATTGGTGTTTCAAAACAATTAAACGGCGGCCATGTTTGGTTTGTTTTTATAAATTAATTTTGCATGGTTGCTGGGCTTGTGAGTGAAAGCGCTTTATAGATACTGATTGAGGGCAAATAAAGGACATTAAAAATAAAACGACACCGGCTAGAAGTGATCAATCATGGTCCTGCCCCACCATCATTACCGTCGATAGAAATTAATTAAAACTGTAGGCGTGCCAAAATTTATAGCAATGTTTACAGTTCTTGGTGAGGTTATGTAGCAATGGGATGCAAAGAAGTTTTGCTCTTATTCCTGATTCAAACTATCGCCATTTTCTTGGCCGAAGAAGACGTTGACTCCACATTTTCTCGCTCATCATACTTCACAACGCGGGAAAATAAGCAGCTTAAAGGATACGTTGTCAAACGGTTTGATTCTCCCAGTTTGTTATCGTGCGGCCAACAATGTATGAGAAACGCTTGGTGTACTTCTACAAACTACAAGATGGCATCCAAGAAGGACGGCAAAGGAACTTGTGAACTGAACAAGCACGACATCTCACTCACCAACGAAAACAACACCTTTCTTCATGATGAGATAGGAGTTACGTTGGCGTTGCTGTTGAAGGTGAACTATATTGAATTAGTTTTATCTGAACTATTAAGAATAGCACCTGTTCTGTTACATTCCACTTTTTAAAACTTATTTATTCCAGAAGACATGGTTGTTAAGCCAAGTTCGATGTCATTGCTCTCTTCCCTTCCTTCTCCAGACACGGTTTGATTATATACCGAAAAGGGAATGTTTTATTGCTAAAATTCTGCTGCCATGGATAACATATCATCCATTGCAATTACACGTCAGAGTCTTTTATCTATATAACTATCATATGTTGAATTATTGTCGGAATTGTGCCGTTTGTCAGGAAACCTATTGCATGTACCTTGGACTCTATGCATAACAAAGTAGCTGTACTTGAATAAATAAAAGTAGATTAAAGTTAGATCAATGTAGAGTACAGGATCAGCTTTGAACAAACAGACTTTATAACTGACGCAAAGCTGATCAAATAGTTGAGGATGGTTTCTTTAATTTCAAAGCTTTGATCTGGCTCAAT